TGGTCCGCCATGCTTTCCATTTGTTGTTGTAGGGATTGTAAGCACCCTGAAGTCGTTGTTTGCGCGGTCTCGAGGGTCTGGCAGCGTTGTTCCACTGCGGATGTTCTGGCCGATAGATCTCTGACCTCGCGTTTGAGTTGGTCGGCAGTTGTTTGCCATGTAGTAATTAATTTTGTCGCCATTGCCTCCATAGCACGTTCGAAATAGCTTCGTGTTAGGCAGTCTGTGGGCTGAGGCTCTTCAGACATTGCCGGCAGTGAGCTGGATTCCAGCTCGTCCACGGTCTCTTGGTCTGTCGCCCGTGCTGTCTCCGCTGTTAGGGAGGATTTTTGTCCAAAGAAGTTCATTTGTTCGGCTTTTGCAGCCATTTTCTTAGCTTTGGATGAGGCCATGGTTTGCTTGGGTGTTAGGGTGGTTTCAGCTCGCGTTAAAAGTGGAGTTGGTGGAGCCCATGTGCCGGAGCAGATTTCTAAGCGGCCATCTTGCTCGGCGGTTAGCCACGCCCCCCAAAACTACACATTTTTATGTGCACCGTTCTCTAGTCTCACTTTTATATTTTTGGGTTATTTTATTAAAAACAAGTGCTTATTCTGCTCACGGAGTATGGTCTACCATCTCTGTTTATTTTTGGTCCTTGACCCTCTTGCATGGTCACCCAGTTGTATCTAGGCATACTTATTTAATTGACCTTATTGCCACTATTGGTAGTCAAAGCTTTTTTCCTGTTCTATCACTTGGATCCTGTATTAAAAAATGTTTGTTTTTTTTGGACCAATTATGTCATAAATGCTGTAATGGCAAATTGGCAATTACTGCAAAAACATAGACAAACTGCTGGTGGGGACCATTATGAGAATTGTGTAACCATGCTGCACCAAACCTTTTTTGTGTGGCAGTTATTTTTGACTGACAAGCATCTTCAAACATCTGTGATTTTATCCACTCTAAAAGTTCTCATTGGGACACATGGGTACCCAACTAAAGCCTTTCTATAATGGTCTCACACAGAGCCCTCTAGATGGCATGGCAAGACAGCTGTCTTTGGTTGGTTATGGTTGTGCCCATACTTTATGTTCTATATTTCTGTGGATTGCTGTCCATTTCCAAGTGCAGGATGTGTTTTCTTCTATATCATTTTCATGTTTCAAAGTCGTTTAACGCCCCCCCACACCTGATGAAGTCTCCATTTACCCTCATCTTCTCTAATAACTGAACAATTGATATAATTCCTCATTAAAACATATCAATTAAACTGTTAATAGCTCCTGACTGATTCCTCTTCTTCAACTGTCACTAGTCTAATACTATCCTTACCTTTTGTGTCATTTTACCCCACTCCCTCTAGCATGTAAGCTCATTGAGCAGGGCCCTCAACCCCTCTGTTCCTGTGTGTCCAACTTGTCTGGTTACAACTACATGTCTGTTCATCCACCCATTGTAAAGCGCTGCGGAATTTGATGGCGCTATATAAATATCATAATAACAATAATAATTATTATTATATTTGATTAATGTATGTTTTTATTGTGTATTATTTATTACCCACCAGAGTTTCCATTATATTTTATAATTCCAATATACATTTCATACAATTTGACTTCCAGACTTCCTTAAAGGATCACTATAGTGTCAGGAAGACAAACTTGTTTTCTTGACACTATACAACCCTTAGGCCGCCCTCCCTTGGTGCTGGAGGGGTTACTTACTTTAATCCAGCGCCGGGTTCCCCCGGCGCTGGTGACCTCTCCTCCCACTCCAACGTCGGGTCCCGCGTGGAGCGGCATGCGCATGCGCAGCAAGAGCCGTGCGCACATTCAAACAGTCCATAGGAAAGCATTTCTCAATGCTTTCCTATGGACGTTCTGCAAGCTGAATGTGATTTTCACATTCAGCGTTGCAAAGCGCCTCAGGAAGACAGCCACTAGAGGCTGGATTAACCCTGCAATGTAAACATAGAAGTTTCTCTGAAACTGCTATGTTTACATCTGAAGGGTTAAAACCTGAGGGACCTGGCACCCAGACCACTTTATTGAGCTGAAGTGGTCTGGATGACTATAGCGTCCCTTTGACTTTATTTTTCCCTTTCCAACCAGGGAGACCACATTTTTAAGTAACCATTTCATTTATCCATATTTTTTTTAGATAATGACCCTTCTCCATAGAGACCTGGACATCTAGTTGTACAACCAAACCCATTATAGTAGGCATTACAGATGTCTTCCATTTCTTAACTATTAGTAATTTAATAGCTACACATATATGAAGTAACACATACATTTGTTCTAATTTTATTGAGTCAACATTATTGGGTCATGGATTCTCTCCAGATCTGGCACAGATGCCATTTCATTTTATAGTTGCTTTTTGGGTTTTGTTTTTAAAAGCCACATCTCTTTCACTTCTATAACTTCCTGACTCTTTTTAACATCTTCCTTATGGCTTCTGCAAATGCCTTTTCTATTCCTATTGCTTAAAAGGAGTTTAGCTTTTTCAAGATTAAAGTGACACTGGCCCCTTGCCCTCCTTATGAATTTGTGTTAGTATCTCGTAGAAAGCTGCAGGGAGAATCAACCCGCGATAATCTGGTGCTTATTTTAAGAACTCATGTTTTACAGTTTAAGAAAGGTAATAATAAGAATAATATGCTAAAAGTTGGGGGTGGGGGGAGGGTGCAGAACAATTGGGTGTTGGATACTGGACTTTGGGGTTAAAAGGTTCATGAATAGTATAGCCTCTTAAGATATGCCGGTGCCAGGGACCTCCTGACAACATAACAACCTAATTCCAATGAAGTTGTTATGGTGTCCGGAGTATTCCTTTAAGCTCCAAAAAAGCAGATTACAAGTTTCGAGAACAGGTGTCCCCTGCAGGGAATGCAAGTTAATACTCTGCCTATTGGGAAATCCAGCTCTAAGCCCCCACAAAGTTCCATTCATAACCCAGTAGACTGATATGCTGAATAGGAAAAAAGAAGAGTCTGAGCCTAAGGTTACAATTAGTACACTTGAATAGGGGGGTAACCCCAAATAGAAACTAAAATGAATAAACAAAAAATAGTGTACCTAAGGGGAGGAGGGGGAAAACTGTGAACAGATAAACTCTAATAAGAGTGTCCGCTTATCACCATATGTTGGGAAATAATTTAAAAAAAAAATATACATTTTATTAATATATTACAAACGTGCTTCTGTACAACAGGTGAGAGGTCTGATCAGCAAAACAGTAAATAGAAAGTCGCAGAGACCTGTCTCTACAGAGAATCTAAGAAAAGGTATTCTTATTGTAGTTACTGATGTGGAATATGATACTACTGGTTGCTGTAAGGTAGCATAGAAACCTGTTAGGGAATTCTGTAAACCGAAACCAATACTGGCGTAGATATAACCCTGCACACGTCTGTGTCAGGGTCTTTAACCGTAAGAGACGGCACAGAGAAGTACTGACAGTAAATAACGGGAGGGAGAGGTAACCTAAACGGTATATCTGCAATATACTGCCCGGTAAACCCTTACTACATCTATTATTACAGTTAGCATATGGATCTCGGCTATTTATTCTGATAGATAGAGAACTCACCAGTGTATAATTACTGTATCATATACACTGAAAACCATGGCTTTCCCATAAAACAAAATAGTCCCTTTTGATTGCGTTGGAATATCAATTACATTTCAACACTGTCAGTATGAGTATTTTATAAAGATTATAATTCTGAAATACTCAGAACTGACAGAGAATCTTTCCGTTCCTACTGTTTTCTGACCAAGCTTCTAAAATATTTGCATAAAGTAAGACTGCCACCTAGTGGTCCTAATTTTAAGTAGAGGCTTATAAATCAATATGGTGAAAAAAATGAAAGCTTGGATTGTTTTCTAGACCTACTCAGTGCCTTTCTAGACCTACCCAGTGAAATAGTTAAAGCGACACTATAGTCACCAGAACAACTACAGCTTAATGTAGTTGTTCTGGTGAGTATAATCATTCTCTTCAGGCATTTTCATGATAAGGCAGTGTTTACATTGTGCCCCCTTGTAACACCTCTAGTGTCCACTCCTCAGATGGCTACTAGAGGTTCTTCCTGAGACAGTGCTGCACTGCGTGTTCAGCATCTCCACGCTCGGCATGGAGACACTGAACTTTCCTCATAGAGATGCATTAATTCAACAAATTTCTATGAGGACTTGCTAGTTGACCAAGCTAGCATTTGGCCCCACCTCCTTCCCGGTTTCAGCTAATCCAATGCTTTTAATCTACGCCAGGACGAATCGATCCGTCTAGGATATACATGTGGAGCCTTAAAAGGAATTTATTTGTTTGTACCACCTAAAACACACTCTTTTTTACACGTCTCACTACTGCTTTCATCTCACAGAATACTAATTTTTGGACATTCCTACTAATAAAATTACAAATTGTGAAACCAAATTAAACCAAGGGGGGGTGGAGGGTTGGAACATGTTAAATATACGTATTCAGAAGTCATAACTATATGTGCATACTGGATAGAAGTACTGCAATTACTTCCTCACTAAATACTGCTATTAAAAGCTTGATCTCTCTACCGAGGATTGCAAGAAGTGGTACACAGTCTCAAGATAAATTATTCAATTTTTATTAAAGGGTAATTCTAAACACCACAACAACTTTGTGTCATTGCTAACATTGTGGTGCAGAGAATACACTGCTACCTGCCCATATTGGCTTATAACGGCAGCAATGAGTAATAAAAGCTCCCCTGGATTAATATACTATTAAAGGAACATGTATTTCTGACACTATACGGTTTAACTGTTTAGCTGCTGATTTTACTCATATTTTCTACCACGCCTCCTGTCTGTGGTGTCTATTAAAGTGGTTTTCATTTTGTTTGTAAGCAATATTGCCAAGGTGTTAAACCACGGATGCAAAAAGAATAAAAAGCAAAGGCTTAGGGCAACTTCTGCTAGCTTATTGGCAATTATGACATCATGATGTGGTTGTGGCTTATTGGTAATGGCATCATGCTGTGGGTGTGGATTATTGGTAATAATGGCATCATGCAACGGGTGTGGCTTAGCAATAATGACATCATGCTGCGGGTCTGGCTTATTGGTAATAACAGCATCATGCTGTGGGTGTTGCTTATTAGTAATAATGGCATCATGCAGCGGGTCTGGCTTATTGGTAATAACGGCATCATGCTGCGGGTGTGGCTTATTAGTAATAATGGCATCATGCTGCGGGTCTGGCTTATTGGTAATAATGGCATCATGCTGCGGGTGTGGCTTATTGGCAATAATGACATCATGCTGTGGGTGTGGCTTATTGGCAATAATGACATCATGCTGTGGGTGTGGCTTATTAGTAAAAATGACATCATGCTGCGGGTCTGGCTTATTAGTAATAATGGCATCATGCTGCGGGTGTGGCTTATTGGTAATAATGGCCTCATGCTGCGGGTCTGGCTTATTAGTAATAATGGCATCATGCTGCGGGTGTGGCTTATTGGTAATAATGGCATAGAGCTGCGGGTCTGGCTTATTGGTAATAATGGCATCATGCTACGGGTGTGGCTTATTAGTAATAATGGCATAGAGCTGCGGGTCTGGCTTATTAGTAATAATGGCATCATGCTGCGGGTCTGGCTTATTGGTAATAATGGCATCATGCTGTGGGTGTGGCTTATTAGTAATAATGGCATCATGCTGCGGGTCTGGCTTATTGGTAATAATGGCATCATGCTGCGGGTGTGGCTTATTATTAATAATGGCATCATGCTGCGGGTCTGGCTTATTGGTAATAATGGCATCATGCTGCGGGTGTTGCTTATTAGTAATGGCATTATTCTGCGGGTGTGGCTTATTGGTAATAATGACATCATGCTGCGGGTGTGGCTTATTGGCAATAATGACATCATGCTGTGGGTGTGGCTTATTGGCAATAATGACATCATGCTGTGGGTGTGGCTTATTAGTAATAATGGCATCATGCTGCGGGTGTGGCTTATTGGTAATAATGGCATCATGCTGTGGGTGTGGCTTATTGGTAATAATGGCATCATGCTGCGGGTCTGGCTTATTAGTAATAATGGCATCATGCTGCGGGTGTTGCTTATTAGTAATGACATCATGCTGCGGGTCTGGCTTAGCAATAATGACATACTGCGGGTGTGGCTTATTGGTAATAATGGCATCATGCTGCGGGTGTGGCTTACTAGCAATAATCACATCATGCTGCGGGTGTTGCTTATTAGCAATAATGGCATCATGCTGCGGGTGTGGCTTATTAGTAATAATGGCATCATGCTGCGGGTCTGGCTTATTGGTAATAATGGCATCATGCTGCGGGTCTGGCTTATTAGTAATAATGACATCATGCTGCGGGTGTGGCTTATTGGCAATAATGGCATCATGCTGCGGGTGTGGCTTATTATTAATAATGGCATCATGCTGCGGGTCTGGCTTATTGGTAATAATGGCATCATGCTGCGGGTGTTGCTTATTAGTAATGGCATTATTCTGCGGGTGTGGCTTATTGGTAATAATGACATCATGCTGCAGGTGTGGCTTATTGGTAATAATGGCCTCATGCTGTGGGTGTTGCTTATTAGCAATAATGGCATCATGCTGCGGGTGTGGCTTATTAGTAATAATGGCATCATGCTGCGGGTGTGGCTTATTGGTAATAATGGCATCATGCTGCGGGTCTGGCTTATTGGTAATAATGGCATCATGCTGCGGGTGTGGCTTATTATTAATAATGGCATCATGCTGTGGGTGTGGCTTATTAGTAATAATGACATCATGCTGTGGGTGTGGCTTATTAGTAATAATGGCATCATGCTGCAGGTGTGGCTTATTGGTAATAATGGCCTCATGCTGTGGGTGTTGCTTATTAGCAATAATGACATGCTGCGGGTGTGGCTTATTAGCAATAATGGCATCATGCTGCGGGTCTGGCTTATTAGTAATAATGGCCTCATGCTGCGGGTGTTGCTTATTAGTAATAATGGCATCAGGCTGCGGGTCTGGCTTATTGGTAATAATGGCATCATGCTGCGGGTCTGGCTTATTAGTAATAATGACATCATGCTGCGGGTGTGGCTTATTGGCAATAATGGCATCATGCTGTGGGTGTGGCTTATTGGCAATAATGACATCATGCTGTGGGTGTGGCTTATTGGCAATAATGACATCGTGCTGTGGGTGTGGCTTATTAGTAATAATGACATCATGCTGCTGGCTTGTGGTGTAATAGCTGGCATCATGCTGCGATCTGGCCTAGTATAATGGCCTCATGCTGCGGGTCTGGCTTATTAGTAATAATGGCATCATGCTGCGGGTCTGGCTTATTAGTAATAATGGCCTCATGCTGCGGGTCTGGCTTATTAGTAATAATGGCATCATGCTGCGGGTGTGGCTTATTGGTAATAATGGCATAGAGCTGCGGGTGTGGCTTATTAGTAATAATGGCATCATGCTGTGGGTGTGGCTTATTGGCAATAATGACATCATGCTGTGGGTGTGGCTTATTAGTAATAATGGCATTATTCTGCGGGTCTGGCTTATTGGTAATAATGGCATCATATTGCAGCTGTGGCTTATTGGTAATAATGGCATCATGCTGCAGGTGCGGCTTATTGGTAATAATGGCATCATGCTGCAGGTGTGGCTTATTCGTAATAATGGCCTCATGCTGCGGGTGTGGCTTATTAGTAATAATGGCATCATGCTGTGGGTCTGGCTTATTGGTAATAATGGCATTATTCTGCGGTTGTGGCTTATTAGTAATAATGGCATCATGCTGCGGGTATGGCACTCAAGGAAACCTTCCATGGGCATTACCCATGCAGTACTGGAGCTGTTTATTTAGTACTAAAATATTGATGTATACTGGTAATCATAACAACCATTTGTCCAAAATTGGTCAGGACAGGCTTTATTTTGGCCCCTGTCCTGCTTTTCCTCGATTTGCTACCGTATTGGGCAATACTAGTGACGTTCAGGGTATCATTTGCGCAAGACCACAAGCAGCCTCTCCTATTACTAGTTTAATATCTATTTTGGCATTTACAAGTTTTATTTGCTCTTGCCTAGCGGTTAGAATCTTTTAAGATAAAGCCAATCTGTGTTGTGATTTTAATAATATTTATACAGCTGAGATCACCAACATTTAATACAAGTATTGTAGTGACGATACGGCCTTGGCATCTCTGGCCCTGAAGGTTGACCAGTTTAGGCCTAGTATCGCCCGTGGGATTCTTTGCATTAGCCTGTACTTTTCCCACTAGTGAAAGCAGCGTCTCTCCTTACTGGCGATTCAGTTGGAAGTGATACAGTCCATGCTAACCATTTGTTAGGAGCATTTAGAGCCGGTGTTACGGTCAGTGGCCCCGTTGGTGGGGCAAAGTATGAAAGGATACCGCCTGTTCCCTATCAAAACTGCAATGTAATTTTTATTTACTATGTAGCCAGACTGGCAATTTATTGAATAAACAATTCCTAGTGGTACGGTGTTGGAGCTCATGGCCTACACCTCAGCTGGTGCAGACCATAATAATTGCATCCTCGCATATCAAAAGTTCCTGGGAGTTGCAACTCAGCTGCCACCTCTGCACAATGCAAGGGATTACCATTAACAACACTTTTTTAAATCTTTATTTTGAGATTAAGGAATTGGCTTTTAGGGATGCTTGCAATTCATGGGTCATAATGGTAACTGGAATGATCTATAATGGTGTTGGTATGTACATTCTTAAAGAAGGTACGGATATTTATTTTGCCATCTTTAATAAAGATCTATAGCTTAAAAAAGTGAATAATTTATTTTTTTTATATTCAGAAGTGAAAACTATCCCTATGTCATTTGAATTCAGCTACTTTAGGAGGGACTCAAGAGATTTGTAAGGGCCATCCCAGATAAAAAAAAAAACAAGTCATCAATATATCTAAAATAAGAGACCAGATTCTGTTTCCAAAGATGTTCTTCCCAAATGGCGGAGATATTCAGTTCCATCATAAAAAGATTTGCATAGCATGGTGCGAACTTGGTCCCCATCTTAATACCCTGTTTCTGCACATAAAGAGTTTAAAAACATTATTGCTTAAAATAATGCGATTACCCTCATAAATAAAATCAATCTGTATATCTGACATAATATTCTCTTAGGTTAGTATATTTTTAAAGGGACACTATAGTCACATAACTGCTCCTGATGACGGCGTGTATACACGCTGAAAATGCGCGTCGAGCATTTTAATTATTTGTTTTCCTTTTTTTTTTTTTTCACACTAGGTAGCACTTAGTTAGTTTAGTTAGCCTCTTTTGATTGTGAATTTTGAAGGAACTATTCCAGGCAGGGATTTTTTGGGCTTTGAGGGGTTGTTTTGAACCTAGGGCTTGCCCATATAGGAGCTGCCCTGGTTCTTTTTCCCTCCCTTTTTCCTACTCTCTTTTGTATAGGTTCTTTTGACCTACCTTTACATTAGTGGGGCTTTGTATATATTATACATCCTATGGAACCTTAGATGTGGATACTTGTATTAGTGTATAGGGCTAGCCCCCTACTCCACCAGGGATTTCCTTTTTTTTTTTTTTTATAATTAGTAGTGGTTCATTATTTTTAGAGTATTTATGGGAGTCTTTTTACTGATTCCCCTTATATCCTCATCCATCTACTAACTTTCCCCTCTCTCCCTTCCCCCTTCCTCTCATGATCTGGCTAACATACTACTTTGTTTCTGTGTTCAGTAGCTACTTCAGGGATCCCCTTGTTTCAAGGGTCTCCGTTATTGTTTATAGTCACCAGAACAACTACAGCGTATTTAATTTGTTCTGGTGAGTAGCATCATTACCTTCAGGCTTTTTGCTGTAAACACTGTCTTTTCAGAGAAAATGCAGTGTTTACATTACAGCCTAGTAATAACTTCACTGGCCACTCCTCAGATGGCTGTTCGAGATCCTTCCTGGGTCATGGCTGCCTAAAATGCATCCAAACATTCAGTATCTCCTCCCTCTGCATGCAGACACTGAACTTTCCTCATAGAGATTCATCGATTCAATACATCTCTATGAGGAGATGCTGATTGGTCAGGGCTGTGTTTGAATCATGCTGGCTCTGCCCCTGATCTGCCTCCTTATCAGTCTCAGCCAATCCTATGGGGAAGCATTGTGATTGGATCAGGCCACCACTTCTGATGGTGTCAGCAGACTGCTTTTTTCTGAGTCTAACAGCATGCAGAGTTACAGCTTCTGGCTTGAATACAGTAATATTTTTTACTATATTTATGGAGGCATGAGGGGCCCAGGGGAGCTTGATGGTGGTTTTAACACTATAGGGTCAGGAATACATGTTTGTGTTCCTAACCCGATAGTGATCCTTTAATTGCCTGACCGCCATTATGGTGAGGATTAAGGTATAACGGGAGTGAACATCACAAGCTAGTAAGGTGTAATCTGAGTCCCATACGGTCTTTAAGGTAGGACTTAATTCTTTTGACCAAGGGAAATAGAAGCTACACAAGCTATGATTGGGTGTCCTAAATGCAATTTATCATCTTTGTGTATCTCTGGAAGAAAGTATATCACTGGGATTTTTAGATGACTCACTCAAGAAATGGTGTTTAGATTACTACTGAGAAAAATGATGGAGAGCTTCTGCTGTGTACAGGCACTAGGACCCTGCAACGAGCGCGCAAAGTGTGCTTTTTTAGGAGGGATAGTTCCTAGGATTTTCTATCCTAAAGTCCCTCTTTTCAAATAGCTCCATATCTTTGGTATGTCTGAGTGTATAACAGAGCTCCAATGCAATAATACACACATTATTGTGTCTTTGCTAAACAAATTTATTGTAATTTGATCAGTCTGTGTAAGACTTAGTAAGTCACTTAAAATTTCTCAGAACAGCCCTGCCCTTGGCCACACTCATACAATTAAAGGGTCCCTCTATGTCCATTTTAAATGTTTGGAGTTATGCAGACAGGCCTCTTCATTGAGCAGTCCCACCCCATTTCGGCATGGGTCCATCCAGATGTTTCATTGGGGATGGCCTTGCAAGGTCTGCTCACCCATCACGATTTATTACCTCCCAATGTTGCGGTGGGGCTAACCCTAACCAATGGAACCATCTGAGATACTTTTAAAAGGAGCAGAATGGTATAGGACCCAAAAGGGATGGTCTCTTCAAAAGTCCTTTTGAGAAGGACTATTGATTAATCAAAATATTGATGAACATGTATAAAGAATCAGAATTTCTGATCTATAATGTGTACTATATTATGGGAAAAAAAATAGCCCAGAACTACTTGTATTGCTGCATCTCTACCCCTTCCAAATCGACATTTAGCAAACTGCTTTTTGACCATACCCATATGCGATTTTTAAATTTTTTTTATAAAGAGTGAATAAAGCATTACGTACAAGGCACACATCTTTGGTACAATTAATAATTTTTTATTTCTTTCTTGGCAAGATAAACCCTTTTGCATAAATAAAGATATAGATTTATTAGCGGAGATATAATTGAATAGTTGTTATATTGTTTATATATTAGAAGTAATAAGTGACCTGTGCTATAATAGTTTAGCATAGGTATAGCGCCAACACCACAGATTTACGCAACTCCTTTGATGCTAGAAACTACTATACATTTTCTACATATATTCTTTGTACACGTTTAAGGAGTTTATTTTTTTGACAGAAAAGTTGAAGGTGCAAAATACTGCACAATGCCGAGCAGAAAAACTTCCTAGAGCAGTAGACTTTTTTTTTCCCGTTTTCTTTCAAAATTTCAGATCGGTACACAACAAGCATTGATTCATAGTTTTAATGCAAAATAATATTTCTGCATTTTAATACCAAAATATTTTTGTTTAGTTTGGTTCAAACTTGTAATCTCAGTTCATTTTCAGCATTTAAGCATTTTGGTTGCCTCATCATTTGAATTGGCAAGGCTGGAAGATAGAAAATAATTATATGCATACATACAGAACTAGTCACAAGTTCTAGTACCTTGAATAGCATAAAGGTTATGACGTTCGAGATACAACCAGGTTCCTACAGAAAGGAAACCCAGAAGTGAAGTACTTATATTGAAACAGGAAAATACTTGCATTCTAAGGAGCAATGGGAGAATACACTCATTTAAAAAAAAAAACACCAAGACAGTCTGTGATTATAGTATGAAATGTCTAACTACGATGACCAAGACAAAAAAAAAAGCCTGATGCTGGCACTCAGGAGGACTGCACAAGGATAGACATGCCAAGTAAATCTCAGAATATGAATAAAT